GCGCTGCTGCCCCGCACCAATTTTGGGTGGAATTCTGAATATTTTCGAGGCACCTCAAGGCAATCTGGGTGGAAAATGCCAGGAGCCATCTCTTTGCAAGCCTCTCAGTGCAGCAGCGAGGGTTTGAGGGTAAATATAAAGGCAGCCAGCAATGCAAGGATATTTTTTCCTGCGTTGCACAGTCATTAAGGGGTCTGCTGCAAAAGCCTGCTTGACTTTCTTCCCGCTAATTACATCATCAGATCATCACACTGCTAAAATCAGGCGCAGAGTACTTGCACACAACTAAATCCCTGCTTCTAATTACTATTTTAGTCTCTTTTTCCTCGTGACATGTTGGTGATAGATCATTATTTTTTCAGCAATTTGTTCGCATTTATATGCAATATAATTGGATCTGATTAATTATTATGATTAATGACTGCAGAATTTCCTTGCAAAGCTATTAATACTGGGAGTATCAAATGAAAGACATGGACAAATTAAAGCCAATGGAGTCCTGTTGCTTGTACTTACAATGCCTGGGCTCAAGTAACCCTTTGCTGCTCCAGCCCTGCAATAAATACCAGGGTTTATCTGGAATTTCCCCACAGATCTCTGCATTTTCCAGTGCCCTAAGTACATAAGTAATGGGGGAGAGATGCAGGTGGAATTCTTAGGTGGACTGCTGTAGTTAAAATTACATATATTTGGGTATATTTTAAACCAGCTCAGCAGCATAAATGCAGCTACATCCATTAAAAGTCAGGAAACTGGCAAAAAAGAAAAGCCTGGGTGATATTTCTATGTATATGAAGTGGATTTACCCATTTTTCAGGTGGCAGTGCAACCAAACACCACAATAAAAGCAGTTAATTTCCATTAAATGTCACATTAGCCCATTTCTGAGGGATGTATTTACGTAGCGTGTGCTGTATTTGAAATTACAGCCCAGCTCAGCAATGGGATATTACATGTAAAAAAGCAAACAGTGAGGGAGTAGCTTAGGGGATCGACTTTCCTGCTGCCTCGGGGACCTGCCTTTAAATCTGCCTTTGAGCAAACTGAGCAAAAATCATTTCCCTCTAATGGCAGCAGCACAGGGGAGCAGCAGGAGCTGCAGGCAGGGCAGAGAAGAGGAAGAAAGGGCTGGAGATGGGATGGGGCTGGCTCTGCCTGGCCTGGGACAGCCACAAACAGGGGGATTTAATGTGGAATAAAGAGACAGCAGCACCAGCAAACCCAGGGNGCAGCACACAGCACAGAGGGTTCCCCCACCAACCACCTCCTCTTTTAACTGCTAATTCTTTAAACCATCAGCATTTCATCAAACCCAAGTTCTAAAACCCTGACTCTTATCACAGCCGGTACTTATAATCCCTTTTTCCAGACTAGATGTTCCCAAATCATGTTACGTCTTTCATCTTCCTTGTGATTAATTTCAAGGTCTTTACTGAGTCAAATGAGATATTTTTTTAAATCTCTCTTGTTTTAGTTTTTCCAGCTTTTAGCCGATTCTGGCAGTTCAGAGGAGCCATCAAAATTACACGAGCGTTTTGTGCTCAGCCACTTCAGTGACTCCTGGGTTTAGGAGAATCCCATAAAGGCAACCATCTTATTATTTTAATGCATGCAATAATTTAAGTGATAACAACTGCAAAAGTCAGGCTGTTTTGTTTTATGGATTATCAACAGCCTTATGACCTTGAAAATAGTCGAGTTGACTCACTAATTTTTACAATTTAGCAAAATAGCACATGCAGCATGATTTTATCAACTTTGATGCGGTGAAAGTGCAGAGATCTCCAAACAGATGAATTTCCTTCCCAGAGCCACTCTGGGGAGCTTCAGGCTGGGGAGCCAAGGAGAAGGGGGGTTATTTCAGGGGAAAAGGGAATTATTTGAGGAGAAAGCAAAAAGGGAATTATTTGGGGAGAAAGCAAAAAGGGAATTATCTGAGCTGCAAACACAGCACGTTAAAAACTTTCCAGCGTCTGTTTTGTTTTGCTGCAATGCAGAGCGAATCTCTCCAGCACACAAATGGCAGGAGCAGCCCCGACCCCCATTTAATTCCTGCCTGGAAAAGGTGGAAGCAGCAAAGGTAAGGAGGAGGCTCAGCCAACCTCTGGTGACCAAAGGTGCACTCGAGCTGTTGTTTTGTATTCCATACTCTTCAAAGAGCAATATAAACAGAATTATTTATGCCCGGCAAAATGTTGCTTAATTACTTATGCACCACTGTTTGCTTGTATTTTAAGCTCTCTCTACCACCCACAGGCAGACGTTAAACAGCTGCTAAAAGCGAGCTTTAGTCTTGTCTGTTTGAAATTAGCATACTTGAGCTTTGAAAAAACTTTGTTGCCAATTTACATATGCATAGAGACTGATATTTAGACTCACCATATGATATGTCCCTCAAGAGCTTTTCTTATTGCCTCCATCCTCAGGTCTCAACCTAGAGACTGTAAATCTAGCAGGTGATTAATTCTATACCCTTGAGAAACTAGCAATTAGCACTTGCAACCAGTAAAAAATTGTCATTTCAAACCCCTGTTTACTATGCCCATGTATTTTCTATGAACTCACAGTTAACTCCACACAGAAATAGATGGCAATAGGTTTGCAGTCACTCCTGTCTCTTTATATAAAAATATATTATGGCTTCCAGCTAATCAACCTATTAAACACACCGGAAAAAAAAAGGGAGATGAAATAATTGGCATTCCTGCTTTTCTATATAAATATATAGAAAATGGGAAGCTGGAGCAAGCATGAAAACATTCTACATGATGTTTTATGTTCCCAGACCTTAATCAGCTCATTTCAACATGATGACTTTGTAGGGTTTACCTGTTTTGTGTCAATTCTTATCTCTGATAGCCGAAATTACCGCACCTCCAGATGTTCTTATGCATTATTGAGGTCTTCTGCAGTAGATGCTGCAAAAGGTAAGATAAGGTTTTATTTCTTTGTAGTAGTCACAACACCCAGATCAAAGGCAGGAAAGTGCAGTGCTTAGTATTGAAAACTATGATGAACTTCACATTTATTTTCAAGTAGAAAATCTGCCACAAACCTGCTCATCAATCTTCAGTCACTGTTTCAAGTGTAATCCACTGGAGCAGGGCACGGGAGTTTAAAGGCTCGGGTCTGCTGTTCCTAAAAACTCTGCTTTAGTGTGTGCTGGCACAAAACCTGTGTCTGGGGCACAGAGGGGTGGGTATGGGGGGCTGGCACTGCCCTGGGCACCCTGTGCCACTCCCAGGGCACCCTGAGACTATAAAATATAAATAAAATATAAAATGAACCTGGCTGAGCTCAGCAGGAATTGGTCACCCAGCACCTGGCGGCGGCAGGAAAATGGGGACCCTTGTATTGCCACAGAGCCAGCTTCAGTAAACAGAATTATGAGATTTGCACCTGGGTTTAAATCGGCTAATAATGGGGGTAAATCTAGGCACAGGTTTAAATCTACCAGAATCAGAGTTCCTAGATTGACCAGAATCAGTAGACTTCCTAGATTGACCAGAATTAGTAGAGTTCCTAGATTGATGAGAATTAGATTTCCTAGATTTACCAAAANAAAAGGGTTTTTTCTGCTCCCAAGAAAGCGATTTTCTGCTCCCGGTAAAGGGGTATTCCTGCTTCCAGGAAAGGGATTTTCTGCACCCAGGAAGGGTTTTGTTGCCCCCAGGAAGGTTTTTTCTGCCGGGCACCAGGGGCTGGGAGTGCCCAGCACAAAGGCTGGAGGTGTGTGCAGATGGAAGCCCCTGGATCACACAAAGCTGCCGGAGAGGCTGGGCTGAGAGGGGCCCAGGTTATTAAAAGAGGGATCAAACCAGGCTGCAATTACGGCCGGCTAATCCTCGGAAAACAGGGAGGTATTTCTTCATTATTTGCACGGGGTGAAAATAACAACCGCGCGGGACGAATGAAAACTTCATCTTCAGATGGCACCCCGATTGTGATGCAGATCCCCTGTCCCGGGCAGCCCAGGAGGGAACCTGAACACGGGTGTGACACCAGCGCTGAATTCATTAATTAGCGGCAGGTTTGATGGATCTGGGGCGATGCTGAGGCGGGAGCTGCAAAGGGTGAGCCATACATCAGGAGCCAGGGGATTCTGCAGGCAGTACCTGGGCACGGCTGCCAGCGTGGGGCACAAACTGCTGGGGAGGCAGTTTCTGTAAATTTTTAAATACAACCATCGCGCCTCCAAATGTCACAGCGGGCTCCAGCCGGCCGAGGTGGCAGCTCCTTAAAGCCCAGAATTTATGGGGTTGAGATTTTCCAAATGTGAGACCGGAAAGGGAAAAAAACCCTGTCTGTCTTTTATTTATTCCCGATATAAATACAGGCAATTTAGTCCTTCCCCCAAACAGGGGCAGATGAGATGAGTTAGACAGCAGTCGATTCATTTTGCATAGGAATGGCTCATTAAAAGCGAGAGCCCCCCGTTTGCGGCGGGCGCCGATTGGGCCCGGCACAAAATGGATTTACGGTGTCACTCAGAGCCGGCAGGACTAATGAGGGAGGAGAGGCTGCAGCGGGGGCACAGCTCCCCAGCCCATCCCCGTGCCCCGGCGAGATGGAGGTGTCCCTCATTATGCATGTGTCTCAGGAGCTCCCTTTAATATTTTAATAAATAACAACATCGGCCCAACAAGAAATTAATGAATAGTATCATTAATAATGAGCCCGGGCCTGGCGGTGATAGGACAGATATTAAATTGAAGCACAGTGGTGCTGTCTCCAGAGACTTGGGAATTTTCCAGCGGCAAACAAGGCCGCTGAATGAGGCAGCCACCGCTCTGTGCCAACAGCTTTTACAACAGGTTGGGAGTAATAAAAGAGGATTTTCTGCACGATAAAGTTAAGCCTTAGAAAATCTGCTGGTGTAGATCGGTGTGAAAAGTACTGCCAAACGTGATCCTTAATTAAACTTTAATTAAGATAAAGCTCTTTCCCTTAAAAAGGGGGGCGGGGAGGGGGAGGCAGCAGCAAAAAGAGTGTCAGCTCTTTTCCTACCGGTTTCTGATCTGAAACGATTCTATATTAAATCGCAGAAAACTGTGCTCAAATAAGTTAAACCCACGAAACCCCGGAAATTCAGACCGGGGGATGAAATGCCATCCGTGGCCCAGCCATGTGCCTGTTTATCTATATTTATCTCTGTTCCTGCGCCGTTTGGAGCCCGTGCTGTAGGAGATCAGTCCCAACTGGGAGCACTGGTGGGAATGTTCCCATCTCCCAGCTGCCCTGGGCCGTGGCTGGGCCCACAGAATGCTCCCCATCCCTTTCCTAAAGGTTCAGGATTTTGTGTTTCACAGCACAGAACAACATATGTCACACGCACGAGGAACAGGCTGGGGGAACAGAACATTTCCACTTCCCCAGCCAGGACCAAACCCTCAGCACGGGGCCAGAGGCTCTGCAGGAGCGTGGAACAGATTCGGTACCAGCACCATGGAAGAGTTTCAGTACCATGGAACAGTTTCAGTACCAGCACCATGGAACACTTTCAGTACCACGGAACAGTTTCAGCACCATGGAACAGTTTCAGTACCATGGAACAGTTTCAGTACCATGGAACACTTTCAGTACCATGGAACAGTTTCAGTTTCAGTACCATGGAACAGTTTCAGCACCATGGAACAGTTTCAGTACCAGCACATCCATCTCTAGGAGCTACCCGACGCAGGGACCCCAAAGCAATATTCCATCATCCAGAACCTGCTTTTCCCTCAGCTGAAAGTCTCAAAATGCTCTTTGCAGCCTGGCATCCGTGCTCACAAATTCCTGAAGCTTTGCCTCAAACCCAGCTGAGTTCAGTAAAATCAGAGTTCATACACAGCATATGGACAGCAAACAAATATTTTGTACAAAGACAAAAGAATAGAGAAATTTTTTTCTTCCTTTTCTTTTTCCTTTCTTTTTTTTTAATATGGCTCCACTTGAGATTTTTTTCCATTTCTTTCCTTTCAGTGCCTCTAAGAAGAGTATCTTTAAGGGTCTGTACATGCAGGGGCACTTAACCTGCACAGGCTCCCTGCTTTGATGAAAGTTTTTATTTAAGCTTCAGAAGGAAAGTCAAGCCTGGATGCCACAGCGCTAATTCTTTTCTAATTCAGAATTTAAACCAGGCTGTTTGACTGGAATCAGGGGTTGAACACGCGTGCTGCAGTGATTGAGATCTGATAAAGTCAAAGGCAAGGAAAATCAAGGCTTGGAACATCTATTATTCTCTCAATTAGCCAAGATTCTGTTATCTGGCCACTTTTAATAAATTTAGTGATAAATTAATAATTGGGTGGCAGCAGAGCAGCCAGCTGCTCTTGGTAGGGAGCTGCTCCTTGCCTCTGCACCTGCCTTGGGTGGGATTTTGGGGATGAGGGGCTCTGCTTGGAGGTTTGGGATAACAGCTGGAATATTGCCTCCTGTTTTACAGCTTGTCTCTCCCCAGAGGGTTCTGAGGTTTGTACAGAATTCATTGGAATTTCACCTGGAATTTCAGCTGGGATTCCATCCCAGCCCTGCCCATCTCCCAGCAGAGCCCAGGGAGGCTTAGGAACCTGCAGGATCCTGACCCACACCCTTCCCAGGCACCAGGGATGGGCACCAGGGATGGACACAGAGCCCCAGGGCTCTGCAGCATCCCCTGGCACCAGGGATGGGGCACCAGGGATGGGCACCAGGGATGGGCACACCTTCAAAGTGCCCTGCAGCATCCCCTGGCAGCCAGGGGCACCAGGGATGGGGCAGCATGGATGGGGCACCAGGGATGGGCACACAGCCCCAGAGCTCTGCAGCATCCCCTGGCACCAGGGATGGGGCACCAGGGATGGGCACTGGGGATGGGCAAAACTTCAAAGTGCCCTGCATCATCCCCTGGCAGCCAGGGGCACCAGGGATGGGCACAGAGCCCCAGAGCTCTGCAGCAGCCCCTGGCAGCCAGTGGGGTACCAAGGTACCCAGTGGAGTACCAAGGATGGGCACCAGGGATGGGCACCAGGGATGGGCACAGAGCCCCAGGGCTCTGCACCAGGGATGGGCACCAGGGATGGGCACCAGGGATGGGCACACAGCCCCAGAGCTCTGCAGCATCCCCTGGCACCAGGGATGGG